GCACTTGTTTCTAATAGCTTCTTGTTACTACTAGTAAGGCACTTGTTACTAGAAGCATTCATGGTATGATCGCCTGTTCTGGTCGCAGGTGTTTTCGCGACGGCAATGCGGGTGTTACACTGGTGGGTCAGAACCGGAACACCAACTCCTTCGTTTGACAAGTTTGCTGACACGCAAACGCCGCTTCGATCTATGTCTGACCCCTCGCACTTAAACAAACGCGCTTTTCGCACAACTGACAAGAAACTCACGTGAACTTCGCAGCAGTGGGACTGCCAGGGCAGCAGAAGCTGGAAGAGGCCTCGTGAAACTCAAAACTTGGTGCCACGGTGTCACACCAAGGAAAGAAAAAGAAGGTCTCATTTCAGTAAGAGCGATGGCCTTCAACCTAGTAGCGATGGCCTCTCAAGATCAAACGAAAAGAAAAAATGACTTTATCATTTCCGTAAGTTTTCCTTTTTTTAAGCAGAGCCAGTTTTCCTTTTCTTAACATACAGTTTTCTGAGGATTGGCGTTGCTGTCCCATTCCGCTTTCCTGCCAATTTCTTTTTCCAAATCAACCCAATTGAGCTTGGAACGCTTGGCGGGCCCAAATGGCCAAAACCTCCTCACAAGTTGATCAAGCTCCATAGCTTTCTTCACTACCCAATGCTAGGAGGCCATCGCTAATAGGTTGCTATTGACAGGTTTTAGGATGTGTTAGGTCTCGAATGCGTCAGCCCAAAAGGTTTGGCTCTCCTGCTGTATGCTTTCATCACCCATGGCGCATGCTGCCGCCAACGTTTCCGGAGACGTGCTCACGAGCTTTGCCTCGGATGAGCAAAGCTGCTAACAGCGAATTATATTTGAAACAAAGCAGCGAGCAGTCGCTGCCGTCAGCCGTTTTCCACCGAGGCGGATGCGTAACCTAAGGCTTGAGGCGCCTAAATGCCATCGGGTAAACACGACGCTCTCTCAGTCCGGATCAATGCCGATCGAACAAGTTCGCTTCTTCAGTAGATGTCTTTTCTTTCTTGATCCGAGACTGGAAAACGCTCACCAAACAATCTGCCACGCAACCAAGAAGCTCCTGCTTCTTTCCGAGTAGAGTCAAATCCTCTTTCGACTCCAAAACCCTCCACTCCGAGCGACCATCTTCAAGGTCAAATCTTCCATATGTACTTCGGAGGGGAAAACGCCAAACACTGTACCTAGCATCGGGAACTCGAAAGGATTTCGCTCCATAAGCGACGTGAACTACCAAACCCGATTTCTGATGCCACCCGGGATTCCTACAAACATTCAGCAGGAACGGGAGAATTGGCATTTTGCCTTCCAGGGGCACACCAGGCAACGGCCCTTTCACTGCAGCATCAGTGATCTTCTTCTTCTTGGGCTGTTTCACGTAGTTGGCATTAAACACATAGCTCCATCGTCCACAATCTAGGATTTTGTGCAGGTGGTCCAGTGGCATCTCCTTGGTACCTGCGTCAACCCACATGTTGGCTGTCGCCGTCCACTTGAGTGAGGTGTTGGCTCCTCCAAGGGTAGCCCTGATCCAGGCTACTGAGAAGGCGAGTGACTTCTGCGCTCCATACGTGTTGGTGTCACTGTTCCCTCTGTCGAAAGTGTCCTTGGCATCTGTAATTGCCGTCATCGGAATCACCTCCATGACTTTATGAGCGTCTCTCCGCTCCATCGGAAGACCAGCCAGCACGCTGAAACATCCACGACAGAAAACACCAGCGTCCATTGCCTCCTCCAAACCAAGGGTTTCAGAGCTGTACGTCGATCGACAGACTCTGGGAAGTCGATGACTTCGTGCGTCCAAAACATTGAACCACCCTTCTCGTCCTTGAAGAAGGTTTTCATCACAAACCAAAATGAAGTAGGAGCTCTGGCTATACAACTTCTCTTGACCTTCAACACCACCGGACTTTGTGGTATTTCCCAAGGAGGCGTCCGAAATCACAAGGATCCCTGCCTTTTCCAAAGGAAGGTCACGGAAAACCAGCTTGAAGTCGCTCCGCCGTTTGAACTCTTTCACTAGGAGGTTTGCCTTTGTCAACGTGGCCACACATGGTTTCTCACCTTGGAGTGTGCTGAGGGCATAGGCTTGGTCGAATCTCAGCTGGGCTACCAACCATTGCAAAGAACCTAAAATGGCTCTGAGTTGGCGACGTTCACTGTCGCTCAATTCTGCTTGTGGCATTGCCCTGCGAGAAGTCGGAACTGCCACTGGCTTCAAATTGCTGTGGTACTCCACCATGGACAACTCAATCTCTCCAGAGGGCACCATTCGGATTCGTTTTCCACAGAAGACGAAGTCGTCGAACTCCACTGTTCCGAATCCAAGCTTGGCACCGATTGCCATCAGGCTCTCTTGAGCTTTGGAGTTGCCACCAAGCAAAAGGTCATCAACATGGGATATGACCATCCCTTCCAGCTGTTTTCGATCTTCTGACCACAGCATCCAACAAGCATAGTCAATGACACTTCTCTCCCAACCGGCCTCCAAAAACGACTGGTTGAGCTTGAGGTACCATTGTCTTGGCGCATCAGCAAGACCAAACACGCCCTTGCGAATCTTTGCCAACTGATTGCCAAAAGGAAGCTTTGGATCATCACCCTTCACGTTTTCCAAAAACAACTCCCTGGTCCCCTCCATGTAGGCGTCGCCCTTCAAGAAGGCAGACTTCACATCAGCACTCATCAATCTCCAGCAATCCTTTGGCTCAGGATGTCTTTTGGAGTTGTGCGCCGTGTAGATGAAGAGCAGGTGTTGGGAGATTCTGGAACCAGTAGGCGCATCTTTGCGCAACGCGAAGGAGAACACATCCTTGTATCCTGGCACGATCACTCTGGCACGGGCTTTGAGCGGCAAAGGGTTCTGAGCTGTTCGCAAGCTTTCATGGCGATCAGTGAAAACATACCGCGGAGTGAGTATGCGGCTGTCTTCTTTGTAAGCTTTGAGCCTCTTTCTCACCTCATCAGACTCTTCAGGCGTCAGGATCTCAATGGCATCGTTCTCCTCCCAGACTGCCCAAGCCTGCTTGGCGGCTTCTGCAAAGGCGATCTTCTCATCACTGGTCATGGAACGCCAGTGGAACTCTTTGCGCGCGGCTTGAACAGCGTTTACCTCCTGGGTCGAAGGTGCACCAGTAGGCCAAGGAACTCCTAGCCGTTGATGAACTTGCCATTCAGAACGAGATGGTAGATCCCATCTTCCACCCCAGCTGCCATGGTCTTTCACTTCACTCTCCAAGGGATCCATGCGATCCAAACAGGCTCCAAGTTGAGCTTGCCTCAAAGGATGCACATTTGGTTCAGCTAAACGCTCCAAGATCTGTTCCTTGGAAAGAACATGTACTTCATGATCAACAGGGTTGACTCGGCTCACTTGCAACTGTTCACTATCAGGCCCACGGGCAAACTCTTCACCTTCTTTTCTCAGGGAGTCTGGATCTTGTTCGGCAGGTCGTTTCTGTCCACCACTCTCTTCACGGCTTTGGTCAAGCCTTTGAGCTCTTTCAATTGAAGCGCCCAGCAAAGGTGCACTCGTCTTCCTTTCTCTCATGCGTTGGTCCGCTTCAGGAAAAGGTGAGGCCTGGGCAAAATCACTGGTTCGTCTCGAAGGCACTGTTGACCCAACTTGTGAAGGGATCTGAGGAGTCGCTGGAACAATAATCGGAAGAAATTCACGAGCACCCACAGGCGGCAGGTCTTCACCACGCAAAGGAGCACCCTCCTCTATGGGGATGCCAGCCGACGACGAAGGAAGGAAAGCAGGGGTTGCAGGATTCCGCAACTCATCATCAGCTTCTGTCACACCATCCTCTTCCGGCAACAAATGAACTTCTCCGGCACCAGGAAGTGGAACATCGAGACGTGCTGCCTCGACTGCTTCTTCAATGGCTTCACGCCAAGTCCCGGCTGCGATCTGTTCCATGGAGCTGGCCTTGCGCACATGTTCAAGCGCGCATTTTGTGAGTTGGCCCTTGTAGGACAAGAAGGCGCTGGAATTGCCCTCCAAAGCCACTAACAAAGCAGGTCCATGCCATCTCTTCAGTGTCAAACGCTTGCGACTCACCGAGGTCTTGGTGTTGAACCGCAAGGGCCTGTAGAAGTAGCAAATGCTTCCAAGTTCAGGCAAAGACTCAAAGGTGGCATCTCGAGATCGTGCCAATTCCGCCTTTCTCATTCCACGTGAGAAGTGGAGTCGAGTCATAGCCACTTTGGCCACCTCCCTCATCGCCAGCTGGCGGGCCAAACTAGGTTTGGACTCGATGAGTCCATGTTCTGCCAAACGCTGTTGAACTCCACCAAGAACGTCACCAATCATCCGGGGTTGTCGTCCGAGCGCAGCCTGATATGGTGAAGTCCCTGACTCACCATCAACATCACCATTGTAAGCCGCAACGGCTTCAGCCAGAGCGAGGTCCATCTCCTCTTTGGTCACCACTGACTTCGAACGCACAATGGCTGACATCAAGGTTTTCAGGATTCCTCCTGACTTCTCTGCGACACCGTTTTGCCATGGGGCTTGTACGGCTATGTGGTGCAGCAAGGTCGAAATGGATGAGGTCCATTCCTCCATTTCCCATGAAATGAATTCACGGCCTTGATCGCAGACCAAAACACGAGGGGCACCAAAAGTAGGAAGCCATCGAGTTGCCATGAAGCGAATCACTTCCTTAGTTGACTTGTCTGCCAAAATCTCTGCTGCGTGGAACCTCGTGGCATAGTCGGTGCAATGGGCCACGAAGTACTTCTTCTCTCTGGCATCTTCAATCTCTAACAGATCCAAATGAACTTGGTCACCTAGATCTTTTGGCGTCGGCAAAGAGGCTGGTCGTCTCACTTTTGGGGGCTTCCTCTCTTGACAGACTGCACACTGATGTCTCTTGGCTGCCACGATCGCCTCCAAAGGTGCTCCAGCCAAAGTCAGAGCCCGAGCAAGGCGAGTGTTGCTTCTATGACCTGTGTTTTCATGAAGACGGCGAATCGTCGCCTTCACACTGCCAGGGATCACCAGCTTTTTCTCATCTGGGGACACTGCGAACTCCTCATCAGAGGCCTCATTGTCCTCAATCTCTCCTCGAACAGCGACCACTTGGTCTCCATCGTCCTCATGGACACCTGCAACCAAAACTTCACAGGGCTTGAAGTCCTTCTCGAACTGGGCTTCCAGTCCGCGAACCAAAGTGCGAGCCAAGGCCCGAGGATACAGTCCAGCAGGAGCTGTGATTCTCGAACCTCCAAGAACCGGCGTGTGGGAATGGTCACGCATGCAACACACCCCATCCAGCATACTTGTAACGCACGAAGAAGAACTCACCACCTGGGTCGGCTTCTTACGCAGGTCTCCTGAGACACTCCGAAGGCCAAAACGGCACTGATCAAAGACAGCTGGAAAAACATTTTCCTCCTCCAAAAACCTCTTCATTTCAGGTTCACTCCAAGCCAAGGATGGCTTAGGGTTCTCGAGGATGCAGTGTCGTCCTTCGCTCATTTGAATGCGGGCGATCTCCAAGGCAAATTTCATCAGAATGCGGCCTGCATGAAGACGAGCAGGCCAGGAGCGGTGTCCCTTCTTGTTCAGGAACTGGAGTGGACTGAAGGGCCCACACGGAAACGCCAGTACCACACAAAAGGGTTTCTCCGTCTTCACCTTTTCAATGGCAGCTTCTCGATGACGACGAAGCAGGAAATTCCAACCATTGTCCAAGCTCATAGATGTCCCAACTTTGTGACCACGACGTTTTGCTTCCTGCGTCACGTTTCTCGCACTCGTGTAAATCTCGGTCACAAGGGGCTGGTCATTCGAAGACACTTTGTCGTTCATTAGGGTCTCATTGACCTTGAAGTTCAAGTCAATCGGTTGGACAAAGATCTCGTCGTCAAGAAAGCTCTTCATCTCCTCATAGTACTCAGTCTCAAGCAACTCTTTGATCTTCTTGGGAGCTTGGGACACACGACGGCGATCTTGTTCATGTTGATTCCAAGCCTGAGCAATCAGCTGAGCTTGGCCCTTTTTGAGCTGTTGGTGGATCACATAGCGGTTCAGGGATCCAGAGCCGCTTCCATCTCTTCCTGAGTCAAGAGGTAGTAATCCTCCCCGTAGTGTGCTGCCAGTTTGGCCTCCCAATCTTGTTCCAAGCTCATGTTCACCTCTTGGCGAAACTCCGGATCGGTCCGGTAAGCCTCCTCCATGCTCACATCTCGGCCCTGACTTAGACCGTATCCCATGGGGTTCCTCATGCGCATCATGTCCTCGTCGGTCATCAAACTGGGCTCTGTCATCAGGCTTGTCAGGTCGACCGGCTGTTGAGGAATGCGACCGGCGCGAAGTTCTTGAAGCTCCAAAGCCATATTGTCCAGTGCGGACTGGAACTTGCCTTGCATCTCTTGCACCTGCGACCATGGGACTGTCGCCGGAGGAGGTCTGGAGGACGACCCGCTGCTTGTCGCTCCTTGCGGAACGAGAGACCTTTTCTCTGTCTTGCCTTGAGGTTTGGCCTTTGCCGCAGTCTTTGTCTCCTTGAGTAAGGCCACCATGGGTTTCACCTTCTCCTTGATCTGTTCGACATTGTCGGTGGGCTGGATCTCGACGTTCAGCAGTGCCGCCAACCTGATCAGATCCTTTCTCAAGGTAGGGAGTCCGCCGCGAGGCCCAATCAAGGCTCGAGCAAGTTCGTCTTGTTCTCCCCGATGTTCTGCCTCCTGAGCTTTCTGCTTTGCCTCGGCCAGAGCGGCCGACTTCACCCTTTGAGAGAGACCTTTGGCCGATTTGGCCAATTTGAAGCCCTGCAACACCGGATCCTCGCAAAAGGCTGTGTCCAATCCCATCCGGTTCCTCAGGTGAATGCAGTCGCCAAGGTTCTCGTAGGTGAAGCTGTTTTGAGCTTTGGCCGTATGCCGCTTTGATACAACTCCTTCCATCACTTGCACACGGCACTGAGCTTCCCACTTGTCCAGCGTTGAGGTAGCTGGGTATGGCAAAGGCAGATAGCGCAAAGAGGATCTTGGCAATAGCCAGAGCAGGACGCCTTTGGCTGACCATTGAAACCTTTCTCGCATGCGGAGAATCATCCGCCGCCATCTCAGATCGATTTGGCTGAAGGCTTCGCTCACTGGCATGCTCCTTCGTCGTAGTGCTCGACCTTCGTGTAGGAGATGTTGTCCGTGTCACAACTCGTTCCGAGGAACGAGACATAGGCGCTTGAACCGAAGGAGCCAAAGAAGGGGAGCTTGACAAAACGGAGCAAACAAGATGACCCACTCTCATGCTATTCTCAGTCAAAAAATGATCATGACCATCATGCTCTGCCTTCAAAAACGAAGTTGAACCACGTTTCAGCCGTTTCTGCAACCACTGCGGAGTGCTCAACTGAAGTTCAATGACTCCATCCAAACCCAACCTTCTCCATCTCTGAGGTTCCAGACCTGCCCATTGACCAGGAAGGAGTCCAAGGCAGTAATGGCCTGCAGCCAGCTGGTTCAGATGAATGGGCTTGCCATCGAGCAACTCACAGTGCAGAACCCTTCGTGAAAAACTCATCACCGCCCCAACCGCTTCCAAAAAGTCCCGGCCCAAGAGGAGTCCAAGTGAAGGAACCTGAACCACCGATGTCCAAAAACACAAAGTGACCCCTCCAATCACCGTCGGAAGCCGCCAGCGCTGGGTGCTGATCTGGGTTCCACCGTTGCCAAAACAAAATGTCTCTTTCTCATCTTCAACCTTCACGAGGTCGATCACTTCTTTGGGGGCAGTTGCACGAAGTCGTTTCAAAAAGCTTGACAACCATTCCGGCCCGGTACATGTTCTATTGCAAGCACTGTCCAAAGCACCAACCAGCCTTTTGTCGGTCGAGAGCACGCTGAAGGCGTTGACCTCTTTGGGCTTGTGAGACATGTCCAAGGCCATCTCGAAACCTTCTGCAAGAGGCTTCGCGTCTCGAAAAGTCATCAAGACTTCATGACCATCATCCGAAGCTGGAGCACCATGTTCAGTGTTCAGCGCTTCGGTCACCTTGACTTGCTTCTGGGGAGACTTTGACTTCTTCCTCCCAAGCTGCTGACCTGGCTTTTGACATTCAGGATCTCCAGCCCAGTGTCCAGGAAGCCCGCAATCGAAACACGGGTGTTTGTCCGACTGCTTTTTCAAGTTCACCTTGCCGGCGTTGGAAGTGCTGGAAGGCGATGGCTTGCCATATCCACGATCACGTCGAACTTCTTGCAACTTGGACCTGGCCTCTTTCATGGTCAAAAAGGCCTCAGCAGCGGCTTCAACACTATCTTCAACTTCTTGAAGGGTCTCTTGGTCAAGACCGCTGGCTGCGGCCTCCTCCAACTCGGCCGCCAACACCTCAGCCTCGGTTTGGAGGACTTCCTCCAGGAACTGACCTTCAGGTTCATCCTCTTCTTGCTCATGAGGGAGCTCGTCATTCTCATCATCCACCTCCGACACCATGGCCTGTTTGGCCGGAGCAGGTCGACGGTACGAGGTAAACCGACTTGACGAGGTTGTCGACGAACCTGACCTGAAGGACCTAGGTGCAGAACTGGCCATAGAGGGGGCGTACGACGAAGGGCGGCTTGACGAGGGACCTTGCTGGTTGAGAAACTTCTGAAGCAAGGGAGCTCGTTCTCCATCTGACCTCCGGTGAAGCGGGTCAGCAACATGCAAGTCCTTGAAAAGCCTCAGAACTTCACGTTCTATTGTTGGGTAATCTTCAGCTCCACCAAGTGCCGTCTCAAGGAGCTGGGTGCGGATGGCATCCAAACCCAACTTATGCTTGAACCACCAACCCAACTCGCCATCTGCTATGACCACACCTTCAGCTCGAAGTTCAGAAACCAAGGACCTGAACCGAGTAGCGAACTCAGAGATCCGTTCGCCGGATCGACGCTTGAGCTCCAGGTAGAAGACATTCCTCAATTCACCTCTCTTGTCTAGGGATGTCCTCCCGGTCATCGATTCTAGCGCAGCCAAAAGCTTGTTGATGCCACTGAGCGGGTCCTCAGGTGTCACCACCACATCGTCGCCGGTAGTGGGATCCGGCAACTTGACCTCTTTCTGGTACTCCAATTCGCTTGGATCAAATTCTTCTCCTCTCTGCTTCACCATGCCGCTTTGGCGAAGCAACCATCTTGCGGCCAAATTGTATTTCTTGGTCGACTGGATATCGAGCCCAGCCAACCACCATGACATCTCTCGACGAAACGTCCTCCATGTTTGAGGACTTCCGTCCCAGGTAGGGACGCGACTCCAAGCACCTCCATTCGCGTCCTTCTCATCCGACATGGTGCCTCAAAAGAAGACGCCTTCCTCAGGAAGGCGATGAAACAGGTGAAAGCTTCAGCAAAAAGTCAAATTCCTCTTCTCGAACTCCTTTTCCTCGAACCTATCGAACAAGGCGCGTGCCTATCAAAAGGATCAAGGGGCCAAAGAACCCAGGAAGAACTTATTCGCCCTGTCCCCGACCGTCACCGAGTGAACCGCCTGGTGCACCCGGCACAAACTCAAGAACAAAGGCCTTGTCCGTGCAAAAGACCAACCAAGCAAAGCGAAGCGGAGAGCAGCGCAAAACAACAGGCCCCAACCAACCAGATAGCTCCGGTGCCACTGAAACAAAGCAGCGAGCAGTCGCTGCCGTCAGCCGTTTTCCACCGAGGCGGATGCGTAACCTAAGGCTTGAGGCGCCTAAATGCCATCGGGTAAACACGACGCTCTCTCAGTCCGGATCAATGCCGATCGAACAAGTTCGCTTCTTCAATATTAGACCTGCAACCTACTAGCGTTGGCCTCCGACCTAATAGCAAACTAGATAAGTTCTTTTCTTTTTTCCTTTGTTTCTAGTAGCGATGGCCTCCAACCTAGTAGCGAGCTGCAAGATGCTGCATGAAATCAAATGCAACGCAATCCATGCATGGCCTTTTGCTCTGAAGACTCCCCTTTCCTTTTGTCATTTAGACCTTCTCTTTTTCTGTTCCTAGTAGCGATGCCCTTTGCTCCTAGTTTGCTCCTAGTAAGGCCAGGAGCCTCGAACGTAGCGTCCTTGCGAGCCCCTGGTAGCGTCCTTGCTACTAGTAGCGACGCTGCCACTGTACGATATGTCCTTTTTTCTTTGCTTTCTGTCTTTGGACCGGTCGAGGCCTGTACTGCTAACAAAACGGTTTCTTAAAATATCGTTTCTTTCTTGTACCTAACTCGTTATCTTCTTAAAACCGAAATCTTTTCTTTTTCCAGTTGTTGATCGCCTTTTCCTACAGACCAACAATGCCTTGCTCACGTTGGTTTGTGTCCGGAATGCGCTGATTCCAACTTGGTGTCGGGCCAGCGAAATGCAGCGGGGTAGGTCAGACCTGAGCCACGTCAGGCTCAAGTAGTCAAGAAAAAACTAGTAAAAGAACATCATAAACATAAAAACCGCATGTTTCCATACTTAAGTTTTTAAGACACAGTAAAGGCCAGCACTCAAACATGTTCAACTTCAGGTTCTATGGTGGAGAACACGCATGGGCCATCTCGCCTGGATAGATTGTGCAAAAGGGTGGCGAATGGTCCTAGAGCTCGCCGCTTGAAATGCTGCAATGACCTCGAACGAAACAGCGCATCCGAACGCCAACGAACAAAACCACTACACACCTATCGCAAAGGCACCTTGCTTCAGCAGAATCCTAATAGCAAAAGGAACCTAATAGGAATGGCCTCCAACCTTAGTAGCTTCTGACTGTAGTAATGGCCTCCAGTTGATTGCACTGTGACCGACCTCCGACCGAATCTTCGTGATCAAGAAACAGAAGCTGAAATCGTCCAGCAATGTCAGCGCTCCAACCAACCCCAAAATGAACCGGCCAAGCATCACTTGGCACTTTCCTGAGTTAGCGATAGCCTCCCAACCTGAAAGCGACCTCCAACCTACTAGCGATGGCCTCTAACCTAAGACGGGTACATGCGACACACCTAAATTGAATGACATTCTTTTGACATGCACGGTGAACAAACACTTGGCTTGGCATAACCAAGGTGCCATTCAAAATGTTGAACTGCTCCAGCCTGGAGTTGGCAAATCGATGATGGAATCCGCGTCGGCACGTCTTTTTCGATATACACGTAGAATACAAAGTTGTTCTTGTGTTGTAGAGATCACGGCGAGCTCAATCATGAAGGGTAGCTAAACTACTCACATTGACACTTTTCTTGGTGAGGGACCATTTGTGCTACTCCAGAACACGATTGGTCGTCCGGCTCTTTACCACAGGACAGGCATGTTTTGATCACAGGTGGTTAGACGTGTGAAGCTTCAAATTTCATGTCCACATGACTTCCATCGCTTGCCATGATGCCAACTTGTAAACTCCATTGCCAACCATGCGTCCGCCAACCATTGCCAATGGAGGAAGCACCCGACATATCTTGCAAATGCAAAAACACATTTCTTGTCAGAGAATGGCCAAGTCTCGCCATGGTTTGCTGGAAACTCCGGAATACCCAAGTTGATTTCTCAACACAAACCTGGTGGCATGTGTCACAGCAAACGAACTTTTATGTAGTTTGGCGCAGGGAACGGGGCTGCGCAATCTTTGCGTGTGCCAGGTTTGAGGCAGTGTAATAGGAAGGGTAGCTAACTCAGGCTGAGTTTGGTCACAAACACACCTGGCCTTTGTGAAGCCCAAAATCTGCAAGTCTGTGTCGAGGATGAGGCCAACTTTGTCCTCCTGGTGATGTGTGTTGGTATCTTTGGCTAGTTTCGTTGGATCTTGTCCAAATGGGCAACTCAACCCAACGCAATCCTCCTGCCAGCGCGGCAAAACACCGTTGTCGACGGCTGTGTCTCCACCTATCCAGCTTCCTTCGCTGCCACCTCCTGCCCAACGAAACAAGTGGAGCTCAAATGGTGAAGAAACACATCCTTCTGAAAAGGCTTTCCAAGAAGCTACTAGTAACAAGTGCATCGCTACTAGTAACAGGTGCTTTACTAGTAGTCACAAGAAGCTAGTAGTAACAAGGAACAAAATCCATCTCCGGCATCACAGGCGATGAACACGTCGCCATCGCCAGCTTCCCACCAAATGCCTGAACCACATCGTTGCGACCTCAAATTGCCATAGGTTTGAGATTTTTTTCCACAAAATTAACATGGAACAAACACATAAGATAACACACACATCTTGTTTAACACTTGTATCCCAGATGCAAATCACTTTTGTCCAGAACGAGGCCCAAATCTGCTCGACAGAATCCATCCAAAAGGACTGGCGCTGACAAGGACCTTTGCGATCCACGACACAGCTGGCCCTATTCAGTATGGGGCTCCTGGCCTTACTAGGAGCAAGGACGCTACTAGGGGCTCCTGGCATCGCTACTAGTAACAAGAAGCTATTAGAAAGAATTAAATAGTAGCCGCTATATATTTAAACATATATATATATATAAATGATAGGCATCATGATCTGAGGCTTTGCAAAGATCTTTGCTGTATCCACAATTTGTACCAAGTCCCCTAGCGAGATTGAAAGAACGAAAGAAAACATACAAAACATCAAAACAAAGAAAACACACATTCAAAACTGCGAGTGGATCTTAATCAGCGAAGTTTGAAGCTATCACTGACGATCCATAAGCGGCGTAGCGTCGGAACGGAAACCGCACCTTTTCTAGTCGCTTGATCCTTGAGCCAAAGTACATATGGTACATATATATGTACAAGTTGCACTATACGTGTCGCTGCACTTCCATTCGCACCCCCCATGTGAACGGCAACAATATGTTCCGATCACACACGAAAATTTAGGGATGTAAGTGCTACAAAAGAAATTGTATGATTTGCCGCGAGACTCATATGAGGCTCATACTACGAAACATGCTGGACTAAAGCGGACTTTTACATATAAAGTGTGCAACTATGGCTCAGAACCTATGAAAAATCGAATTGAACAAGTGAGACAGTCACGAGGCCTCGCTCAGTATCCACTCAAAAGAGCATCGCTTTGATGTAGATCCGAACTGGTGACTTCCACGTAGATGTCACATCGGCAACTGACTTCACACTTCTCAAAAGATGTAGGTTTTGGTTTGGATACACTTACAGAACGGCAAGTCGGAGAGACAGTCGGTGACTGTCTACCTTCCATTATGCTCATGGTATCAAATCGTATTGATGATTTGCAATGATACACTTACAGCGTTTCAGGTCAGATAGACATCCGGTGAATGACTTCCTCCCTGGTTTGCATGGTATCCTCATAGTCGTTCAAAGAAATCACCACTGGCGATAACCTCTCCATCCACGATGATCCCAGCTGCCCTGAGCATCCCGCCGATCATCTTCTCCCTTCTTGGACTTTCCCTTGGACTTGCTCTTTCCCTTCCCCTTTTCAGAAGGTTGAGGTACTTCGCGACGTTCTTGCGTTAGCGCCGGCCTCCAAGATGTTCCAGATTGGCCTCCTCCTTTGGAATGTCCTCGGGATGATGAAGAAGTTGTACCTTCTGCTGCATGTGCGTTGGCGGCAAGATCTTCCTGCAAAGCTTGCTCAAACACATCGGTAGCACTGGATGGTGATTTATCATGTGGTCTGGCTTTTGGAGCAGCCTTCGCCTTGCTCTCCTCTGCTGATGAGGGCCCGAAACTCTTAGGTGCTGTTGAAGGTTTTGGCTCCTCACTTGGTGCTGACGACGGCTTGGCCTCGGTTCTGGGTGTAGATGCTGGCTTTGCCTCAGCTCTTGACGAAGATGCTGCTTTCGCTTCAGACTTAGTCGTTGATGTTGACTTAGCTGTTGCCTTGGCTGCCTGCTTCTTCTTGCCCTGAATCTCCTTGGCCCTATCTCCAAAGCCTAGACGATCGGTAAGAGCTTGAACATGCTTCTGTTCTACCACGCTCATCCATCTCTCTGTATGTCCAATGTTGGGATTTCTGGCCATTGACTCTACGACATTCTGAGCGTGTGGGGGCAACCTGATCTCATGTTGATCAATGATCAGCAGAATAGACTTCTCCCATTTGCTCTTCATTCTCGAGTACATGATGTCCAGAGGATCGATCACCTTGTGGTTGGGTGATGTAACGTCGGTTCTAAAGTAAGAATATGTCCGACAACCATAAATCGCATGGATGCACTTCTGTACCAATTCAGTCATTGCGCTGGCTTTCTTCGCTTTCAACTCCTCAAGCTGGACGTCAGTCAAGTTGGTGGAGTATTCGAAGTTGCCATATTCCTTCTTGAAGGAGTACGGAGTATGACCAAATGATAGGATCACGAGCGCCACCTTGCAAATGAATTGCTCTCCTCTGAATCGGTGC